ATATATATATATATATATATATATATATATATATATATATCTATATATCTTTGGAAAATCATGTTATTCGCAAACATATTTATAATTGGATTATTTTATTGTATTATACGTGCTCAGAATATAGCAGACTTAGAACCTAAACTTCACGAACGAAAGGAAAAGCTTGAAGTTTATGGATTAACATTTCAACTAACGGTGGCTGCAGTGGGTTCTATTGTAAATTTTACATCTTTCTAATTATTAACGATTATTAACGATATTAAGTACATATTAACGAATTTAATGAGAGCAGAAAATTTATGCTTCCAAGTTTTCTTTGCGCTAGATGCTATCTATTCGGTAAATTCGGAAATTGTATGGTATTTCTTGCAAAAATATGTTTACAGCGTTACTACCCAGAACAAATGTCGAAATTTCATTTCTATAGATTCTGTTTGGCACGACATACAGCAACTTATGCTTAACTCCTAGTAAGTTATTAAAATAATAAGTAAGTTATTTAAATAATAATTTATAGCATCGCTAACTTGTTTACGAAAGTGTTATAAGCACATATACTCGAAAAAATGATAAAATGTGAATATTGTCGTAAAACCTTTCCAAAAAGGTATTTAAAATTCCATATACGTTTTGAACATCGTACAAGTATTGTTTCTATGAAATATACTTGTGATTTCGAAAATTATAATCGTTGTTACTCTACTTATAAAGCTCTTCAGCAACATAAAGAACATTAAAAACAACAATAAGTGAATCTGATATTTTACAACACGTAAATATTAATAATATGACTTTACAATTGCATTTTTGTAACGAAAAAATCGAATCTAATTGTACTAATTGTGATATAAATGTTAATACTAATTGGAATATTGAAGATGTACGTAATGAACTTCGCATATTAGCGTTGCAATTAATATCTTTTTTACACGCTGATGCAACATTATCCCGATTACAAATTGATCGCGTTACGCGCATATTTCATTCTTTTCATAATATTAAATATGTGAACGATATAAAAAAAAAAATTATCTCTCATAAAATCTGCAAATTCGGATGATATAGTTGAACAATTTAAGATATTGCAAAATGTCTTTAACGATATTGATAGTGAATATAAAAGGAACAAATTTTTAACTAATTTTAGACATGATATTCAACCTATAAAAAATGTTTGGAACAATGGAAATTAGGAGTAATATTGGATTAGAAATTCAAAATGTGTATGGACAATTAATGCCATTAAGAAAGGTTTTAAAGCGTATTTTGAAATAAACAACATGTTTCAAAAAACTGTTGAGTATATTACAACATTAGATGAAAATAACGAAATTTCCAATATTATACAAACCGATTTTTGGAAATCGAAAATCTTAAATGTCTCAGGGGGAAAATCTTTTATTTTTTCTTTGTTTCTATATGAAGATGCTTTTGAAACTATTAATCCACTTTG